TACATTTTTCTGATTCCTGCAGAGATCTGATTGCTTCTCCACATTTATCGCTGGCCAGCAGAGTTTGACCATGGTAGCAGTATGACTGATGAGAGAGAATAATGCAGGTACTGCCGTCAACTGCCAATTTCCTGGCACCACATCAGTTTTGCCATTTTACTCCTCACTGGATGGAGATCATTGCACAGTTTAACACAAGCCAGAATAGCAAGATCTGCATCTCTCTGAGGCTGCCAATAGTTGCACAGTCAACCAGAAGGGGGTGCAAGGAAGTAGCAAGAAGCAGCACTCACTGGTGCCTAAGTGCAAGTCCCTTCAGCAGAGAAGAAACTCAGTTGTTTATGGTGAGAATCAGGTACCATAATTTCAAATTTATGAAAAAAAATTACTCAATTCAGAAAGGCAACAGAAACATTCCTGATCTTCTGAATTGTTACAGCAACGTCCAAGTAGGACATCACCACACTCATATTTTCTCCCTTTTCTAGAACTACTTGGGCTCTTATGCACAAATAGGGTTCCTACTGGAGTGCAATATCAAATGTTCCCTTTATTTTATAAAACACACAATTTAGATGAGGCCCTGTAACGGGAGTGGGCACTCGCCTCTCATGAGCGCCCCCTGCTTGGTGGAGTGCGGGTTCCTCCATTGCCTCAGTCTTAAAAGCCTTGCAGCTACTCAGCCCTCCAGCTGAGTCTCACAGACTTACGTGCATTCACAACACCTTTCCCAGGTACACCTCAGCCCTCCAGCTGAGTCTCACAGACTTAGGTGCATTCACAATACCTTTCCCGGGTACACCTTTAACAGAGGCCCATCCAGGTATGCTCTGCAGAATGCCTTTGAGTCCAATCCAGTCTCAATCTGTTTCCCTCAGTTTCTTTCCCCACTCAGTGGGAGAATAGTGCCTCCAGGGCTTCTCCTCCTAGAGACAGTGTCCTGAACAGCTCCCCACTTTGAGCTGTCCCTGGTTCTGCTAGCCAGCCCCCTTGACCTTCTCCCTTCCAGGTCTGGGCTGTAACTGAGCTGCCTCTGTTTCTGCAGCTTCTTCTGTAGTCCTTTCTGGCCTGTGATAGGCTGGTTCCTCTAGAGCCTCTCTAGCCTCCTGGAGGACTTCTCTATGGCCTTAGGGTCTAGCCCCATTACAGACCCAAACTAATAGAAATAGTCTCAAGATGCAACATATACCTGCTATATTGTGAAACCAATTTCATATGGATGGTCTTAATAAATAGCACAAGTCAAACACAGCCCAACCATAACTTTCTCATCCATTCACAAAACAAACAGCTTCTGGTTACAGACCCAAACTAAGAGAAAATCAAAGCATTTTTATTTTCAAAACCAAAATATGGCAATACCACAAGCTGCAACTATTTACAGTACAGAGCTACTGGTCCTTGATGGAGAATGTCACGCCAAGAGATAAATCATGAACTAGCAAAGCACACACGATACAAGAAAGCATGGAGATGGCAACTGATATCAGATTATAACTTATCCATACATTTAGAAATATAATCAACGCTGAATTGCATCTGGAAGCAGACTGGGAATCAGTGCAGGGAATAGAGCACAAGTGTAAAATACTCAAACTGACCTGCCTCACTCGTGGAGGTGAGTAACTACACTAAATTCCGCACTGCACAAATTGCATTTTATTCTAGAACATGTATTTTAAGTACTAAAGGGACTGCAATACATCATTTTGTAATGTGGTGACAAGAAGAAATAACTGACTCCCATTCCCCATCCAACTTCTAGGTAAGCCTTAGAAACCCTTCTGAAGCATTCAGATTGGCCACAGAGTACTCACATAGGCCATATAGAAACTTGTCTTCAATTGTAGGTACTTTCTCCATTTAATAGTGTATGCTGGATCCAAACTGGATAACATTTGATCTAGAATTACATAAACAATATTTTTTCTAAGTCATTAAAAAAATGTAAAGCAGCACTCATCTAGTTGCGTCTGTCTATAGATCAGAAGTATGACATAGCTATAACCTCAATGAAGTGCAACGATTATGCCTGAAGCAGCAAAGAGATTTAAGCTGCATGAAAACATCAAGTTAAAAAAAACCTAAAAAACAATTATTTTTAAAAATCTGGGAATTCCCCTTTGCTAAACAAATATGCAATTTTCATTGCTAAACAAAGCATAGGAATTCCCTGATTCAAAAGGTTTAGTTTCTGTTTGAGGTAAGTAAGGCAAAAGAATACAGCTTTAGACTGAAGCTTTTCTTACCTTTTAATTAAAATTAAACAGACCATATTACTGCAATTTATCAAACTTTTAAATATTTCTCAGTAGTTTTCATTAATATAGTCTAATAAATTTATTTTCCCCAATTTAAACTAGTATATACACACCAGTACAAGTTTTCCCATAAGAAAAAGCCAATCTTGGCCTGAGGAGCTGTTGTCGAACAACTCAAGACATTCCTTTAACTTCCATCATTCCCTCTTGTCGTCTAACTTACAATAGCAGTTCACTGAAGAACAGAACCTGAACAAAATCCCACAGAGCCAGTAGGACTGTCTCTAGATTCGTCCACTATAAATCTGTTATACAGGAAACTTCCAATAACCCAGCATCTTTAGGACCCAGGGGGTGCCGGATTATCAAATATGCTGGACTATCGGAAGGGGGGGCAATGAGGGATATGGGGTGGGGGGTGCCACCTCAGACCCCTCATAGCCCCCCCTTCCGATAGTCCGCTCTGCCTCAGGTGTCCCCAATTCAGATGCTGCTGATCAGTTTCAGCAGCGGCTGAATCGGGGATGCCTGGGGCAGAGCAGCTGGGGGGCTGCGGGGGCGCGTCCCACGC